GCAACTTTGTTTTTGTTCCTGTTTTCACTCCTCCAGCAGAGCCAACCGTAATTTGGCTGTTGCCGCTTTCCCCTGAATGGCCATTTCCCTTGAAAGTTTCCAAAGAGGTATATCTATTTTGCAGGGGAATAGCCATAAAAGACTTCAGCATTGCTGTTGCTCTGCCTGGTGGTCACCCACTCCCTTCCTGCCTGTTCAGTCTTAACCTGCAGTGTGACCACTTTTCTGTACCTGCTATCCATGGCACTCTCCACCTTGCAGATGCTCCACTGTATCTCCAGCTACAGTGCAAGATCCAAAGCCCAGACCTGTAGGAGCTGCAACTTGAGAAACTTCCAGTGCACGTGCTTTCTACATTGAGCAGGAAGAGCACATCATGACTTTGAGATCAGCTGCCATGACTTTGCCCATAAAATTAAACATTTTCAGTAGATGCTTAGTATTAAATAATATCAATTATTTTAGGGCCATTATTCCCTGGTCCTTGTTACTACAGAATATAGTCCTTGCAAGCTATAAATCAAAATAAATGCATAAAGCACCTTTTCCCCTCTACACCGAATTCCAACTATGCTCAAATTCCCAGATACAAGCCCTAAGTTTAGCAGTGTTTCAATCAGGATGTGCTGTCTCCCAGCTGGCCATGTTCAAAGCTTTCTGATCTCTGTCATTATCCAGAGAATTCTCGCTTTGTTAAACTTGTCTTTCAACATTATAGGAATGTCCTTGAACTTATTCAAACTGTCACTTCTTTAAAAAAAAACCCATAATTTTATTAGCATTTGCCTGACAATTCTATGTGATTACATAGGATATATAACAAAGGAACAAGCCATTTGAATCAACCTAACCATCCTTTCCTTCCCTTATGCTTGTGGAGTTTCCTCATAAATGCATCAGTTTTTAATTACTTCAGTCACTCCAGCGGTAGTGAGTTTGACATGCTTATCATACATTGGGTAAAGAATTTTTTTCTGAATACCTGATTGGATTTGTTGGTGATAATTTTATGTTGACGGTTTCTAGATATACTCGTTGCAATCTTTGATTCCAGTTTACTTAGGATGGATCAGTTCTTAAACCACTGAAATTAGATCTTGTGCAAATAAATGTTTTTACTGTGAATTGCTTATTGACATTTTTCACAGCTAACCAAAATTTTATGATATTAAAATCACGGTTTCCTTCATATTTCCCAACTGACACTAAATCAATTTGACGCAAGTCAGTTTGCACAACCAGATGTGACGACAAAACAAAAAACTGCAGGTGCTAGAGATCTGAAACAAAAATAAATATTGCTGGAGAAACTCAGCAGGTCTGGCAACATCTGTGGGGAGAAAACAGAGTTAACATTTCATGTCCAGTGACTCTTCATCAGAACATCAAGTCAGTGGACTCGAAACATTATCTGTTTTCGTCGTCAGATGCTGCTAGACCGACTGAGATTTTGCAGTAATTCCAGATTTGACAATACTTACTTCACGTGACCTGAATCACAATGATCAAATAAATTATCCTGAGCACACTTCAGAAGTTCTGTGTTCTCTTCCCTTCAATTTTTTCTTCTCAGTGTCGTGAATCTATGGAATTATTTACCACAGAGGGCTGTAGACTGGGTCATTAAGAATACTCGAGGCTGGGATAGATTTTTAATCAGTAAGGGAATCAAAGATCATGAGGAAAAGGCAGAAAAGTGGATCAACAGATCAACCATGATTGATACGTAAGCAGATTTGATGCGCTGAATGTCCTATTTTTGCTCCTGAATCTTATGATCTTGTGGTCTTTACACCATTACTACATGGGTTTATATTAGGAAAATAAAAATCCCCCAAACATACTGAAGTTCTTATGTCTCTGTGATGTCAGTGTAAGCTATGACATTATTATTATGATTTTGTAAGTTAACTGTGTCTTTTTTTTAGCAAAATTTCCCGTGGGATAGGAAGGAGGATGTTGCAGTTTTGTCTGGTCACATTATGCCTTTGTCATTTCTGGTGCCATTGTTGATGTTAGATAGTCCTTCCAGTTTTACTGTTGTATGATCTTTCAGCAATGATTTGACAAAATTGTGTGGCTTGCAAGGCTATTTCAAAGAGTGGTTAAGAGTTTACCACTTGATTATGGTATGGAATCACATGAAGGCCGGATTAGGTAACAGTGGCCGATTTCCTTCACTGATCGTTTCACTGAAGGTCATCCCTGATTCTGGCTTTTTGTTTGGATTTTCTAACTTTCAAGTCCCCCTGCTGCAGTGGTGAGATTTGAGTTTCTAGTTCGGTAGTAATTCAGATTGAAATGTTACTAGTCTTGTAACATGACCATAGTGTTACTGTTGCCTTAATGCATATGCACTTGCATGTCAATAATGTCAGTTTATTTTTAGGATAAATACTTCATGGTTGGAGAAACTCTTTGGTCATGTTATGAGCATGCTCTCTATAATAATTAAACGTTTATCCTAAATATAAACTGATATCATTGAAATGTAAGTGCATATGCATTGAACAGGATAAAAATTGCCTCTATATTTGCAGAACCATTTTAAAGAGAGAAATAATATTTTTAGAGAGCCAGCAAGAAATGAGATGCTTACAGAATATTCCATAGAGAAATAATTTTATGACAGAATTTAGACTCTTTTATGTATCTAGAAATGATCAATGGGAGAAACTTTCTAAAAATGCTCCGAGATGGAGTTGAGTATGCTTTATCTTAAATTCCCACTGATTGTAGGCTAGAGTCCGCAAATAATAAGTAATAGCTATCCCTGAATAAAATTCAAATGATTTTATTTTGCGGTCAATTTTTGTGCTCAGTGGATTATAGCGGATGCTCAGTAGTTTCGTTTTGTTATCGGTAACTGGTATAGTAGGCTAGAGGAATTAATTTTTATTGAAATAATATCTCCCATTAATTTGAACCAGCTTATGTCAAACGTGTCATTTATTGTTCATACATTGTTACAAATAGTACTACTTGTTAGATTGCTTTTGGAAAAAAATATTTTGCTGAAGTGTTCAGGCATTTTCTATATATGCATGGTTTCACATAACTTGGGATTATTATTAGCTAATGTAATGCTCATTATAACTTTAGAGAGAAGGATACATTAATTGAATTTTAATGAAATTTTTTTTCTTTTAATTTCTTTTAATGCAAAGGTATTATAGTTATAATAACTGTGGATTCTAATAAATGTAAGGTTTACTAAATTGTGGTTCAATATCCATTACTATCTTTACAGACACATTTTTCCATTCTTACTAATACTATTATTTTTATTTTGTCCTCTAAAAATTACTCTGCTTCTCTTCTCTTTTCTGTCTTCCATTTCCTCTCCAAGCTGCTGTTGCTGCCCATGAGGCTGACTGCTCTGGCAATGTTTTACATAACTGCCCCTCAGTCAATGAAGGTATTCTGCTCCCTCTCTAATACATCATATCACTTTCATCTTGTTAATTTTAGTAGTATATGTGCAGCATTAACCAGTCTTACGTATATTGAAGTAAGTGCATTGTACAGGGGAAGAAAAGTTCCTCAAGCTTTGAAATAAGAAACCTGTTAGAATGCACTTTTGTTTTGCTTCCATACGTCTATTTTCATCTTGGGATGAAGAATATCATATTTTTATGAATAAAATATCTGGATGCATAGAAATTGTAAATGGCTGAAATTTTATTCTAACTCATGAAAATTGTGCTTTGAAAACAGTTTGAACTATGTTTATTTTGATGCCTTGCATAGAGTGAAAAATATTGGGAACATTTTTGCTGGAACAAATGAAATATACTTACACAATTGAGAATAATAATAGTCCAAGAATGTAAAACAATCTGAACAGCTAACCAAAACAACAAGAAGAGATAACTCTACTGGCTATTCAGATCACCCAGGATGATCTACATGTTTAATTTTCTCTTGTTGAAAGTTGCTGATGAGTGTTTGTCTCAGGGCAGGATGTTTTGTGTAGCTTTCAATGCAGTGACAAAATAATCCATTCCATTTACATCATCAAGAAAGACCTTCCCACAGCCTTTCACTGAAGTGAACTTTAATGTTGCCAAATTAATGAATTTTGTATGAAATGTGTACTAAGTCACTTCTAATAAGTGACATAAATCATGAAAAATAGTTGCAAGAAGATCTAAATTGCACCAGGTAGAGCATGGATATTTCCCTTGAACATTATTTGGTTATGATTTAAATAAAATTCCCATTTGATTGCTATATTTTGGATTATGCAGGACATTAGTTATGGTATTAGAAATTCCTCAGATTCCCATTTTTGTGGTTAATGGGCCAAAACAGTTTGCATCACTGTTTAATACAATAAAATATGAAAGTAATTTCGAAACTAAGAATAACACTAAATCTATTGATGTGTAAATATTGTTCCTTGTATCTGCGCACTGTTTGTTGTAAAATCCTTGTTGGATATTTTGTCAAAATGATCAGTTTTATTGTCTTTGTAGTCCACAATATATTGTTGCCTTTATCATTTTGAGCAATTTTGTATGTTGTTGCAATATGAATGGACAAAAATGCCTTTATTGTATTTAATCATTGCAATTTAGAAGAACAAAGTCATTATATAAATGAATTACATAATTGTAATTTTGAATTTTAGAATCAAGTTGGCCATCATCGAAATCTTACACTTTTTGATTATTCTATGCTTTAAATGTTCTTTGTGTAAGACTGGAAATTCAGTTTTCAAATAGGATATTGCATTTGGCCTTAGAAATGTGCAAATGCAAAAGATTCTGCTACTTTTTAAATATGTTGTTAAATAAGTAGTGGTTAAGAAGTATTTTATTACATCAAGGTCACCAGCTGTATTAGTATCCCTTTGCAGGCTTCTGTAGTAGCACCAGTTGAACTTAATTTTGACACCCCGCTTTGAATGAAATGTGCAAAGATTGTTTGTGTTTTAGTAACTGCGGATTACTAGTCAATGTGTCTTCATGCATAATGTGTTTGATATACTTTTGTAGGCTGGAGTCAGCTAGCAGCTATGCATTGTGTAATGCTTCCTGATCACCTCGGGCAGGACAACTTTAGACCTCCACTTTTGGAGATGTTGGCCCGACGATGGCAAGATCGTTGTTTAGAGGTAAAACTTTAAAGAAATAATACTTTAAACTTAATGGAATGACAATAAAGCTAATTCAATTGAATTCTTTGAATCATTCCCTTTTGATGCAGCTTTTCTTGTTTGGGCAAAATTTTGTTTTCAGTAATAAATGAACAAATAGACAACTATTACAGTGTAAATGTCATTGAAATATTTATACTCAGATTACTTTGAATTAATTTTCCTAATATTGGCAGGAGAACAGCATTCTTTTCAACCTTATCTGGTTTTCCTCTGATTTAGGGTTCTGAGAGAAAGTAAATTCTACATTTAAAAAGTACTATTTCATATCTGATAGAATTGGAGTTTATACAATGTTGATTTGACTGACTTCATCAAGTGTTACACTGGAAACAATGTTTGTTGTTTTGCTAGTGGGGGAAGCAATTATAATTTACAGAGGATGAATAATGAGAACAGATTAATGTTGATCTAGAGACTATTTTAAGGATTTGAACCTTAAATGCAAAATGAAGTCCACAAAAGAGAGAATTTCTCCACATGCAATACAATTTTCAGTGTTGTGATGGAGGCTTATCACACAATTTCTTAATCTAAATCAATCTTTCTTCAAATTGACGTTATTGGCTGTTGTCATCATTTCTTATTCTTCCTACAATTGTCTGCCTTTAAAAACCCAAGTTGTAAGCCATTCCATCATTATTTAATAATTTATCAGTTCAACAAGTTGGTACAGTTGGTACAGTAAACTTGCTTGCCAAGCCGGTGTGTTTGATTACAGACATTTCGTCCCCCTGCTAACTAACATCATCAGTGCGCCTCCGGTGAAACATTGGTGCTCTGTCCCGCTTGTTATTTATATGCCTCGGTTTGCTGGGGTGGTTGGCATTACTTCCGGTTCTGTTTTTCAGTGATTTGTATATCGGGTCCAGTTCAATATGTTTGTTCATGGATTTCCAGTTAGAACGCCAAGCCTCCAGGAATTCCCTGGCATGTCTCTGTTTGACTTGAGCTGTCATGGAATGTGGGATAACACAGTGTGGAGCTGGAGGAACACAGCAGGCCAGGCAGCATCAGAGGCACAGGAATGTTGATGTTTTGGGTCAGGACCCTTCTTCAGAAATGGGGGAGGGGGAAAGGAGCTCGGAAATAAATAGAGAGAGGAAGGGTGGGGCTGGGGAAGGTAGGTAGGACGGTGATAGGTGAGTGCAGGTACGCATTGGTGGGGTTTGGTCAGTGAGGTGAGAGGAACGGATAGGTGAAAGAGAAGGTGAACAGGTTTTGTCAGGTTATGTCAGGTCAAGGAGGCGGGGATGAGAGGGAGGGTTGATCATGGGATGAGGCCGAGGGTGGGGAGATTTTGCAACTGTTAAAATCCACATTGAGACCATTGGGTTGTAGGTTCCCAAGGCTGAATATGAGGTGCTGCTCCTCCAGTTTCCAGGTGGTGTCTTTGTGACATTGCAGGAGACCCAGGATGGACATGTCACCCAGGGAGTGGGAAGGGGAGTTGAAGTGGTTCGCAACTGGAAGGTGTTGCCATTTGTTGCAAACAGAGCGCAGGTGCTCTACAAAGCGGTCTCCGAGCCTCCGCTTGGTCTCCCCAATGTAGAAGAGGCCACATCGGGTGCAGCGGACAAAATCTCCCCACCCCCGGCCTCATCCCATGACCAAGCCTCCCTCTCATCCCAACCTCCTTGACCTGACACAACCTGTCCATCTTCTTTCCCACCTATCCGTTCCTCCCATCCCACTGACCAATCCCCACCACTCCCTACCTGCACTCGCCTATCACCATCCCACCTACGTTCCCCAGCCCCACCCCTCCTCTCTATTTATTTCTGAGCTCGCTTCCCCCTTCACCCATTTCTGAAGAAGTGTCCTGACCCAAAATGTCAGCTTTCCTGCTCCTCTGATGTTGCCTGGCCTGCCGTGCTCCTCCAGCTCTACGCTGTGTTATCTCTGACTCCAGCATCGGCAGTTCTTACTATCTCTATCATGGAATGTATTGTCTCAGTCAAATTCGTGTCCTTCTTTGTCGATGTGTATTGAGACCAGTGAGAATTGGTCGTATCTCTTGGTGGCTAGTTGATATTCGTGTATCCTTATTGTCAGTTTTCTTCCAGTTTGGCCTATGTAATGTTTCTCACAGTCCTTGCATGATATTTTGTATATTACGTTAGTTTCATTGGTTGTGGGTATGGGGTCCTTTATGTTCAATTTCTCTCCAAGTATCATTTTTCAAATTTAATTGCATTGGTTCTGCTTAGTGTTCAAGTAAAATAAGTGAAATCTTCATTTTATTTCGGTTGTGTTGATTTACAGTTTCCCCACAGACATTTTTAACAATATTTTGATTTCATGTTTCCAATATGATGTTGGAATAAGTTTATCTGAGGCTGTTAAAATGGGAGAATTTGTGTTGCATGGCTACCAGGTAGCAGTTTGCTGACTGTTACAGTTTTAGTGCTTTTCATAGAGACTAGTAAATGGTTTTTGGTATCTATGCTCGATAAATGAGTGAGTAGCCTTGGCATCACACCTCTGCTATTGTGGCAGAAATTTTGTTGTCTGTGTTGCTTTGTGAGAAAGATACCAAGGGGAGTTAAATGAAGAGCTACTGGGATTTTACCATTTTGATAAATAACTTGAACACAGAACCACTGCCTGCTTTTAAGAACATTACCAAAGTTCGCGTTATAACATGAAAAACTAAAAATGCGTTTCATTGTGTTATTTGAGGATAAATGGATTATCCAGTCAACTAATTTTAAAAACTCTTTCATTGCTCAGTTAGCTGTTCGATTTGACATTCACCATTACTCCACCTGCTTAAAATACATGCATTGGTTCAATTACCAAGAGTTTAGTGATCACTTAGAGAATCAATGAAGCCAGTCTCTTGGAAATTTCGTATCCCATCAAAATTTAAAAGGAACAACAATGCACTCAAAAATAGGGTGAATTTGCTGTATTTGAAAAACCATTTATTTGCATTATTGCCTTTCTCCACTTCTGCCTCAGCTCATCTAGTGCTAAAATACTCATCCATGTATGTGCAATCTTTTGAGTTGATTATTTGAATGTTTTGTTAGCTGGCCTCCCGCTTTGAACCCTCAGTATGTCTGGTAAAACTCTGCCTGTTGTGTATAAATGAAATTTGATGAATGTTAAGGTATTAACTTTGTGTTTGCTGACCCAGTCAGGCAGTGCATTTATTTACAAATTCTCCTCCATCTTTTCAACTCCCCCTACGGCTTTGTCCCTCCCTAGCCCTGTGGCTGCCAGCTTACAACCTATATAGATCTCTATATTGTTCCAACTCTGGTCTGTTCAGAATCCCTGATTTTCTTTGCTGCATCAATCAAGCGTTTAGCTCTCAAATTCTCTGCCTTAGGCTCTTCACTGAGGACTGAGGCTTAATGGTTGTTATTGCAAAGCCATCCTTGGTCTCAAGGGACTGCCCAAGGAGAAGGCTGATGTTACTAGGCTAGTACTTCGGAGATCTAGGCTAACTTTCCAGAAGCATATGTTTAACTTTCATTGCAACGACAGAGAAATTTAATTCTAATTCATGAATAAATTTTCTGTAAAGAGCGCCTGTGGTAAAGATGACCATGTAACTGCTGGATTACCATAAAATTAGCCAGTTCACAAATGTCCTTCACGGGGAGAAAAACTTGCCGTCTTCACCCAATCAATTACAGCTCTGCTTTCAACACCATTATTCCTTCCAGACTAATCTCAAAACTCCGAGACCCAGGTCACGGCTCCACGCTCTGCAACTGAATCCTCAGCTTCCTGACCCACGGACCACAATCAGTGAAGTTAGACAACTGCACCTCCTCCACAAAAATCCTCAACACTGGCGCCCCTCAAGATGCATACTCACCTCCTATTGTACTCCCTGTACACTCACGACTGTGTAGCCAAATTTCGTATGAATGCCATTGACAAGTTTGCTGATGACACCTCCATTGTAGGCTGGACATCAAACAACAATGAGTCACAGTACAGGAAGGAGATAGAGGGCTTGGTGTCGTGGTACAATGATAACAATCTGTCTCTCAATGTCAGCAAAACAAAAGAACTGATCATTGACTTCAGGAGGAAAAGGCGAGGACATGCCCCTATCTAAATCAATGGAGCTGAGGTGGAGAGGGCCGACAGTGTCAAGTTCCTAGGAGTGATGATAACTAACAATCTGCCCTGGATCTCCCATGTAAATGCGACAGTCAAGAAGGCACAATGATGCCTCTTCTTCCTCAGGAGGCTTAGGAAATTTGATGTGTCCATAAAGATCCTCATCAACTTTTACAGGTGCACCATAGAAAGCATTCTATCTCCGTCCATAACGGCTTGGTACGGCAACTGCTCTGTCCAGGGCCATAAGAAACTACAGAAAGTTGAGTGCGCAGCCCAGACCATCATGGAAGCCACCCTTGCATCCGTGGATTCCATTTACACTTCTCATTGCCGTGGAAAGGCTGCCAACATCATCAAAGACCCTTCCAACCTCTTCCAGCAGGCAGAAGATAAAGAAGCTTGAACACATGCACCAATAGATTCTTTGCTTCTTAAATTGCTGAATGGGCCTCTCTAATTTCAATCCAATGGTGACCTTGCTTTTGTGCACCTCTTGTGCAGTCATAACCTTGTATGCCTCACTCTGTCGAAGCACCCTATGATCGGTATGTCCTTGTTTGCTATGATCTGCCTCTTCTGCTCACAAAAGAAAACTTTTCATTGTACTTGGTTACATGTGACAACAACAAGTCAAATCAAATCGGTCTAACATGTACATGACTCCAAACCAAGTAGGCTTGAGGGGCTCTACATCCAGCTTCTCTACCTTTTTCTTATGTTTTTATCCACTAATTGATCATGTACAATTTATAAATGTTTACAGAACATATACAGAATTGATCAAGATTTTAGTGTATCGTTTAAAACAATATTTTAGTTCATTTTTTCTAGATTTTCGCACTAAAATGAATATATTTTAATTAACTTTCCTTTAAAGGTGAGGGAAGCTGCTCAAGCTTTACTGTTGGCAGAGCTTCGAAGAATCGAGAAAGAAGGAAGAAAGGAAACAATAGACACGTGGGCGCCCTACTTGCCACAGTATGTTGACAACATTATGTCACGTAAGTATCTTCATGGTCTACTCAATCGCATAGTTATGAATATGCAAAGGGTTACATGGAGTGATGATGGCCTATAGGTTACCAGTGATTGATTTTATGAATAATGCTATTGGAAACCAATCTGCTTTTTTGTTAGCCTTTTATTTTGATTGAATTTTGGAGCGTATTAATGTGAGACATTTTACACATGTCATTTGAAAACACCATTATTATTTCTGTCACATTTAGGTGGGCTGGAGTGAGATGAAGCTGTTCCAATAATCTAGTTATATTATTCAGTCATACAAAATATCACGCCTCACTAGGGTAACTCACTGGAAATCAATCCTCACTATTCGTGGAGTCATTACAAAAGTTAAAGATTTAATCAAGTACACAAAATTTCTCAATATACCTGTATTTTAAGACCCAAGTTAATAGAAACTGCAGACCAGGTTTCTGTATATAACATGAGTTACTATTTATTGGAAATAAATAGATTTTGACTACACATAAACTACTGTGAACTGTTTAAAAATATGACTCTGCTGATTAAAATTCTAACCCTTTTATAAAATTCCCTTGTACGCTTTCTCAGACAGACAGCAAAATAAAAATTGTTTTTTTGGGTGGATGGAAAATCTGGGAAGGCAGTTCAATGCTCCCCTGTGCATAGGGATCGCTGAGATGATCCTTTCAGCCTGCCAGGACTTGCAGCTCCTCCTCTCCTTTCACTTTCCTGCAAAAGGCACAGAGTCTCTGGTATATTTGTCAGCTTATAGATAAACTAGGTTTCTTTGAGCTTTAAGTATTAGTTGTTAGCAGGCAGAGACTTTTGGCACTGACAACTGGTCACCACGCCACAGATCCATCAGCTATTTTTTGCCAGCTGAGTCTCACTTTATGTACATTCCCTGGTGCTAGTCAAAAACATGGAAAATAGCAGAAATTTGCCATTTGGCTCTTCAAGCTATCATCACCCCACAATCATGATTGTGACTGATCATCTCAGTACCCTTTTTCCTGCTTTCTCTCCATATCCTTTGATCCCTTTAGCCCTAAGCACAATGTCAAATTCCTTCTTGAAAACATTGAATGTTTTGGACTCAACCATTTTCTGTGGCAGAGAATTCCACAGGCCCACCATTCCAGCTGAAGAAATTTTTCATCTCAGCCCAGGATCCTTAAATTGTGCTGGCTGTGGACTCCCTGATTATCAAGAGCATCATTCCTGCATTTATCCTGTGTAGTATTGTAAGAATTTTGTTGCTTTCTATGAAATCTCACTGCCTCATTCTTCAAAATTCTGGTAAATATAGTCCTAACCAGCCAGCTTACGAACTTACAAACAAGGAACAAGAGTAGGCCACTCAGCCCTTTGAGCCTGCTCTGCCATTCAATAAGATTACGGCTGATCTAATTTTAAACTCAGCTCTAAGTTGTTGCATATCCTTGATAATCTTTCCTCAGTGAACAGGAATCTATCGACCTCTGCTTTAACAATATTTAAAGATTCTAAAGATTACAAAGATTCTAAATTCTCTTCATCACCAGTCCTGCTATCCCAAGAATCAGCGTGGTAAACCATTGTTACACTTCCTCAAAAGCCAGAAAATCCTTCCTTGGGTAAGGAGACCAAAATTGCCCCAGAAATTGAATACTCTTGCTATGAAGGCCAACATGCCATTTGCTATGTTCACTGCTGTCTGCTTACGATCAGAGGATGGTGTACAAAGACACCAATTCTCCTTCTTTCCCAATCTGTTGCCATTCACATTATCAAACTTTCTGGTTTATCGACAAAAGATATCCACATTATACTTCAACTGCCATTTGTCCACTCATTTAACTTGTCAAAATCACACTGAAGCCTCTCTGCAACCTCCTCACAGTTCACCCTCCCATCCAGCTTGTATTGTCTGCAAACCAGGAAGTGTAATGTTTATTTCCCACCTCTAAATTATTATTATATGTTGTGAATAGCTGGAGTCTAAGCACTTATCTGTGTGGTACCCTACTAGTTGCTGCCTGATAATTGGAAAAATACCTGTTTGTTCCTACTTTTTGTTTCCCATCTGCCAACTAGCTTTCTATTCTGTCGACCTTGCCTGTCGCATTGAATGAATGTTAGAATGTTAGAGCCCTTACAGTGTGGTAACAGGCCCTTTGGCCCAACAAGTCCACACCGACCCACAGAGCATCCCACCTAGACCCATCCCCCCCATCGTCTCATTAGGGGCATTTAAGCAACTATTAGATAGGCATATGGATGATAGTATAAGGTTGGGGTGGAGGTTAGATAGACCTTAGAATTAGGGTAAAAGTTCGGCACAATATCGTGGGCCAAATGGCCTGTACTGTTCTATGTTCTATGTTCTATAACCCACCTAACCTACACATCCCTGAACACTACGGGCAATTTAACATGGCCAATCCACCTAGCCTGCACATCTTTGGACTGTGGGAGGAAACCGAAGTACCCGGAGGAAACTCACGCAGACACGAGGAGAATGTGTAAATTCCACACAGTCATCTGAGGCTGAAATTGAACCTAGGTCCCTTAGAATGACTTATATACATATTACACAGGTCTTTTTTTTTCTCCACACATCCTTTTGAGTTATACCTTTTTATTCTATACGGTCTCCTCATGTGTTTTTCGAAAAAAAATCCCCTCTCGCTTTTCCAAGTTAACCTTCATATTTCACCTATCTGCCCTCTCCACCAACTTATCGAAGTTGTTTGGAAGCTCTGCACTGTCCTTCTGTCAGTTCACAATGTTTTCAAGTTTTGTATGTACCACAAACTTTGAAATTATTCTCTCTACACCAGGGTTTAGAACATAAACTTATATCAGGAGAAATAAGCATCAAATACTAACCCCCAGCGAACTCCATTAAAAATTTGCACCGGCCTGAAAAATATCCATTAACCACTCAGCCAATTTATTTCCATGTTGCTACTGTTCCTTTTATTCAATGAACCCTAACTTTGCTGACAAATCTATTGTGCGGCACCATGTTAAACACTTTTTGCACGTCCATTCACAACAGCATTAAGCTCAACAACCTTCTATTACCTATTCAAAGCACTCCCAGCAATTTAGTTAAACACCTTCTTCTTCAAATCTATGATAGCTGCCCTGAATTAACATGTATTTTTCCTTATAACTATTAATTCTGTCATGAAATATGATTTCAAAAAATTTCCCCATCACTGAATTTAAACTGACTAGTTTGTGATTGGGCTTATCCTTACTCCTTTTCTGAACAAGGATGTTACATTTTCAATTCTTTAGTCCTCTGACATCACCCCCACATCTAAAGTAAACTGAAACCTATGACCAGAGGCTGTGCAATTTTCATTCACTTTTCCTCCTTATCCTTGGATGCATCACATCTGGACCTGGTTTCTTGTCAACCCTAAGTGCTGCCAACTTATCAAATGCTGCTTCCTCATTGACTCTTCTAGTGACTGAATTTCCTTCTTTGTTACCAATGCCCAGATAGCCTTTGCTTCCTTGGTAAAGACAGATACAAAATAATCATTCAACATCCTAGTTGTGCCCCCCAACCCCCACCCCCTCCCACCTCCCAGTTCCATTTGTAAATGCCCTTTTTGGTCACTCTTTTTCCACCTGTTATTACCCTTTGCTATTTATGTGCTGATAGGATACTTTGAAGTTGCTATTTAAATCAGCTGCCAGAGTATGTTTATAATCCGTCTTTGCTTCTCTTATTTGCCTTTTCACCTCCTGTTTGAACCTTCTGTATTCAGCTTGGTTTCAATTGCACTGTCTGACACCTGTCATAAGTGCACTTAATCTTCTGTAGCTTAATTTCTATCTCCTTTCTTATCCAGATCGCTCTGAATTCATTTGTTCTAACTTTCCCTTGTAAGAGAATATACCTTGACTGTGCCTGAACCATCTCTTTTGTGAAGGTCATCTTTGATTGTTCATTCATTGTTCAGCTACAGTTTTTGTGTCAAACTTTGGCTCCAGTCTACCCAGTCTAGCTCGGCTCTTGCCCAACTGAAGTTGGCTGTTTCCCAGTTAATTGTTCTTGTTCTGGATTGTTCGTTGTTCTTTTTCACCATCATCCTAAACTTCATGATGCATTGATTGTTGTCCCCTCAATGTTTCACCTAAAATTTACTAACACTTGATCAACAATCAAACATCATTTCCAAGAAACAGGTCTAGCAGTTCCTCCTTATGCATTGGACTGGACACAAACTGCTACAGAACGTTCTCCTTAGCACCATTGAGGAATGTCTGTCTCCGTCTGCTCTTTACACCACTAGTAATCTAGTTTGCATTTAGACAATTAAGTACCTTATTATGAGGACTCCATAATATTTGCACTTCTATGTAATTTTCTTGCAGGTTTATTCTTTCACATGCTCCTCACTAGTTGGTAGCCTATAGACGATAGTTTTTTTGTTCCTTAGCTCTCGCCAAATCAATTCTGTCTTTGAACTGTCTGGGATATTTTGTTTCTGCAGAGCTGCAATGTTCTCCCTAACTAATATAGCCATCCCTTGCTTTGCTTCCTTTCCTGAACACTGTATCCAGGGCTTTCAACATCCATCGCTGCTGTTCCTTGAGTTAGATCTCTGTTATGTTCACATGACAATTCCACCTGGCAATCTGTAACCCCACCAATCTTGATTACTATACTCCATGCATTCACACGCATGCACTATAACCATGGTTTAGAATGATTGAGTTTCTCCTTTGTTGCACATCCGTCTATTAATTCAGTGTTTTTTATTCTACTCCTATCTGTCTGAGTATTTTGTGTACTTGGTATTCCTCTCTGGTATTGTTGGTTAGTTCTTACATCTCTGCTGATTTGATACAAACCCTCTCAACAGCACACCAAAATACTTCACCAGGAATTCAGACCCGGCTCCGTTCATTCGTACTCCCCTAGTTTCTACAAGTGCAGTCTTCCTCAGACACCCAGTCCTGGGATCCAGAAATCTAAAGCACCTCCACCCAGCTCCTGCAATTTCTT